GTAATTTGAATTCTTATGCTGATATTTAGAACAAAGAATACTTGAGTTACTATATGTTCACATCTATTATAAAAGGCATACAAATTTTAAAAGTTATTACCAATAATCTGGCAATATTTTTAACTTCTAGCAGCTTCAAGAATGAGGAAATATCCAAAAGCAAACAAACACCAGGCATCAAATCCACAATGTTCAATCAACAAGCCTACCTGAATATCCCCAGAGAAGTTGTTGAGCTAGAATATAATCAAATTCACTCTTAGAAAATGATGATTTTATATAAACATGATAAAAACAAAAATATTTGGATTTTATAAGTTATATCTACTGTGTGAAAAGCATAGCTGTGCTTTTCGTACATCAATAAATCACAGAAATCTTCAAGCTAGAAGGACCTCAAAATGTAAACTAATCCAACGATCTCATTTTACTTCTGAGAAAAATAAAAAGGATAGAAAACAGAACCATTTTTAGATTCAATTCTATATATCAAATAAAAATATTTATTGTTATCTATTTATTTGGATGACCTGCCAATAAAATGAAAATTTATTAGAGATTACTGCATGTGTAAACATCAGCAAAGTACTCTTCTCATCACATAAGCAATCTTCAGGAGTTTTTAGTATTATTATACACTAATAAGCATCCTCCCCCTACACTCCTTTTTCTTCCCCTTTCTGACCTCTTGGTAAGCCAGTCCAACTCTATATTTTCTTCTTTCAATTTCCTTGCCCCTTTATACTGTCAAAGATCTTATCCTTTCAAACTCCACCTTTGTAGTACTCCCACCATCCACTGCCTTTACACCTACTTATATACTGCTGAATAAAGCTGGATAAATCATGAAACCACTACAAGTTTATGTTGCATAATATCAACTGGGGCACTACAGCAAGGTAATCCTTTTACATTCCCCTAATCAATTCACAATCCTACTCACCAAAGTGGCTTTTCCAAACCTTTTCATCTCTCACCAAACCTCTCAAAGCTCACTCTACCTGGATCCTCTCAGTTGAGAACCCTCCCTCATATTTCACTGAATAAAATGTGCCTATTCATCAAAATCCCCTCTTCTCCCCTGTATCTCATCTCATATTCTTCAGATATCTTCTTCCACTATCTCCTCCTTTATAGCTATTTGACATGAAGTGGCCCTTCTCTATGCCAAAGGTAACCTTTCTCTATGTACAAGTGAACCTATTCCATCCTATCTCATCCACCAGATTTCCCCCTCTATCCCTCCTGTCTCACTAATTGTCAATCATTACCTCTCTACTAGTTGCTTCCCTACCACTTACAAACATACTCATCATTCCCTCAACCTCAAAAAACCCTCAATTAATCTATCTAACCCCCCCAGCTATCATCTTACATTTCTCCTCTCATTAACTAAATTCCTTGAGAAGGCCATCTGTCTAAAACAGGTTCTAACCCCCCGCCCCAATCATTTCCTCTCATGTTCTTCTTTTTGCAGTCTGGGTTCTAGACTCATCATTCAACTGAAACTGTTCTCTCTAAAGTTACTAAGGAACTCTTAATCGGCAAATCTAATGGCAGTTTTCTCAGTCCTCATCCTTCTTGATTTCATTGCAGTCTGTCACTATCATTCACCATCTTCTTGATAATCACTTTTATCTAGTTTTTCATGACATTGCTCTCCCCTGGATTCACCTCTTATGTGTATGAACACTCTTCTCTGTCTCCATTGCCAGATCTTCTTCCAGATAACAATGGCAAAGCATGAGTGTTCCCCAACATTCAATCTGGACTCTCTCCTCTATATATACTATTTCAGTTGATGTTATCATCAGCTTCCATGGTTTCAATTATCACCACTATATGATATGACTCTGATCTATTTGTACAACCCTCACCTCTTTCATGGACTCCAGTCTCACATCTCCAACTGTCCACTGGACATCTAGGCCTAAATGTCCCAGAGATATCTAAACTCAACAGTCCAAAACTGACCTTAGTATCTTTCCATCAAAACCATTCCCCCTTCTCAGCTTCTCTATTACTGTCAATAGTACCACCATTCTAATAATCACCTAGAATCACACAACCTAAGTGTCATCCTTGATTCCTCACTCTCACCATCCATTTTCCTATCTGTTGCCAAGTCAAGTAGAATCTACCTTCATAACATCTTCTCAGACAACTGCAACTACACTGATGTGAGCATCTCTTTATCTTACGCCTGGATTACCTCAATAGCTTGTTGGTTGATCTCTCTGCCTTAAGTCTACACTGTGGTAAGAGTCCCCACTCCAGTTCATCCACTACAAAGCTGTCAAATTAATTTTCCTAAAGCACAGATCTGACCATGCTACCCCTCATTCAATAAATTCCAATGTTTCCTTATTATCTCAAGGATCACATATAAATCCCTCACTCAGCTTTTAAAGCCCTTCATATCCTAACCCTTTCCTACATTTCTAGTCTTCTTTTATCTTATTCCCCTCCAAGTACATACTCTGCAACCCACTGACACTGACTACCTTGTTGTTCACTGCACACAACAGTCCACCTCTTGACTTCCTGCATTTTCACTAGGTGTTCCTCATGCATGGAATTTTCTCTTCCTCACTTCTACTCCTAGCTTCTCCGGCTTCTTTAAGTCTCAGCTAAAGTCTCACCCTCTGCAAAAAAAAAAAAATCTTCCCAGTCTTCCTTAATCTTAGTGCCTTCCCTCTGAAACTATTCCCAATTTATCCTTTATAGCTCTTATTTATACATAGCTGTTTGTATGTTGTCTTGTCCATTAGATTATGAACTCCATAAAGAAAAATACTGCTCTTTTTTAAAACTTTCTATCAGTGCTTAATTAGCATAGTACCTGGCACATAGTAGCTAAACATAATAAATGTAAACTTAACAAATGTTAACTGACTAGTTGACGAGATTTATCATCCTGATTCACATAAAGGAGGCAGGGGAAGGGAACAAGCATTTATTAAGAACCTTTTATGTGTTGGCACTGTGCTAAGTATTTTATAAATACTATCTCATTTGATTTTCACAACAATCCTGCAAATTAGGTGTTATTATTATCCCTACTTTGCAGTTGAGGAAACTGTGGCAGACAAAGGTAAGCAACTTGCCCAGGATCACACAGCTATTTAGCATCTGAGACCAGATTTGAACTTAAGTTATCCTGACTCCAGGTCCAGCACTCTATACATTGTGCTACCTAGCTGCTTTGTTGTCTATACGAATCCTAAAAATGGCAGTAGCAATGCTAACACCTTTGAGAAAAATAACCTATTCTCTATGAGCAAAAGATAAGGACATACAGCCTCTAAATTTAAATAAATTAAGGACTTTAAGATACTACATATCATTTATAATAAAGAACAGCAACCAGTTTTCATGAAAGCTGATGGGGAAAAACAGAGGAAAGTTAACCCAATAAAACCGCACTTCTTTTTATAATTTTCAAAAGCAGTCTGTTCTGGTCCTAAAAACAAGAGACAGCTAAGGGTTAATCATCCATAGGGCCAAGCATATACTCCCCTATAACCCTGAAAAATAAACTTTCCATGACATTCCTGAAAACTGCTTTTCTCTTTTTGTATTTCCATGGAGCTAATCATTTCAAATAAAATTGCAAAGTCACAGTATAAAATAGTAGTCCTATGGAAGAAAGTGTAATACAATGGATATAAAAGTCGACTAAGAATCAGAAAATATGGTTCTTGTCTGCACTCTAGAATTTATGCCCTTCTTATAACTTCGCTCTCTCATTTGAAAAATGAGAATAACCCATTCTGCCTATTTTATAAGGTTATCATGAGGATCAAATGAGATAACGTATATAAAAGACTTTGGGAGAATTATCGTCATCATCATAATTATTATTATTACACACTGAAATACCACAGATTACCACAGTATTCATGATAAACTCTAATATCTCAATGCTGAGATACAAAAAAATAATTTTTCTTGGGTTTTTGTGTCAGAATGACTAAATGATATAAATTGCTGAACTTAGCACTATCTTTTATATGCCAATGATCATGTTACATTATTAAAAAAGGATAAGAATAAATATACAGAAAAGAAATTTTAAATGAGAATCATAGAATTATAAAGCTAGAAAAGGCCTCAGAGACATGTACATATATATATATATCCATATATTTAGAGATGAAAGTGTCCACTGAGGTCAACTAGTCCCACCTCCTCATTCCAGAAATGAAAACTCTAACATCTTTAGAGATAAAGTAGCTTGGCTCAAGATTGCACAGGTAATGAATCACAGAGCCAGGATATAAATGCACAGGAAGTTCTAACCACCAAATAAATTATCTTTCTACCATACCACAAAATATGTGGTCAATCCTCAATTATCTAGACTATTTAGGGGGAAAGTTTGAATCCGTAGAAGTCACAATTATGAAATATTTCACAAAAAATGCATTCCAAATACTACCAAGAAAAGGGCCTGCTATAATCAATAAGCAATAATTCATAGTTAGCCTATAACCATTAATAGATAATATAATATTTAAATTATTTGTTTCTATAGGCAAATCAATATTTCCTTTTGCAAATAAAATTTAGCAAATTTTTTCCATATATATTATAAATGAAAACTCTAGCCTAGCTCCTATGCCAACAGTTACAAATTCTTAGAGAGTAGAATATTAAATTGATATATACTAAATGTGATGAAATAGCAAGCATTTATTAAGCAACTACTATGTGTCAGGAACTGTATATTATACAATTTTACATTGTTAATATGCAAAAGCCTAAAAACTTTTGGTAACCTGAATAGAATTTTCTACTTCAGAATTAACACTCATGAATCATCTGTGTGGCAAAAAAAACCTCCATAAGTAAGAACTCTTTGCTCAATTATTTATTTTTGTGGAATGTGTAGCTTCTTTTGCAAACTTCTCTTGAAATATAATAATTATGGAAACCAGAAAAATTACTTATATACTATTCCAATCAAGTTTATTTTAAACAGTAGAATACTAGCATACCTCGAGTTTGAGCAGCTTCCTTTAAAGAAGCTAGAATTTGGGGTTTCAAGTCATTGAAAATAATTCTTCCTTCAAGACCTGGGAAAAGGGACCTAAAATAAGCCAAAGAAAAAAAGGTAAATTATTACAATTTTCATAAAATAAATCCAATTTTATGTAAGTTTTTTAAAAAAGCAAAAGTTTATTATGACTACCAAGTATTTTAGAAAAATTTATATGATTAAATCATATTGGTTTAAAAAAGACATGTATCTGCTTTAAAATGTGCAAATAGTATGAACTATGTCCAATTTAAGAAGCATTTCAATCTCCTATAAGTAATAGTATTAACACTTTCCTATTTAAATGATCAAAAAAATAATTTTTAAAGTATCGATTTAAATGCAAATGACCAAAACTACACATATAATTCTAACTCTTAACACTTCTTATTAAAAGCTAGTCTCAAAAAGAGAATTGATATCCATAATTTTAAAACATAAAAGTATGTGTTTCTTTATTTTTATACATTCTCTCTACAAATTATCCTAAGAATAATAGATGAAATCAGTGTGGAAGAGTGAAGGCAAAATTACTGTAATAGTATAAATTATACCTTGGATAATCTTCTGAGGTAATATAAATTACATCTTGATCTGATACAGATGAAGAAAAGGGAATAAAATTTCCATTTTGTAAAGGTAGAAGGTCCAACCCAAGAAGTTCATGATAAGCTGCATCTGAGAGCACAAATTCTAAAAGTTGCAGCTTTTCAGCAGCAGTGCCTGAATGTCCACATTTCTTCAACACCTGCCTCACTAAAGCAGGAGTCACTTTCTTCACAGATTTAGCACTAGAGGCTGTAAGCTGAATCGCATTAGAAATATTTGCTGGTACTCTGACAATCTGTTTCCCTGAGCTCTGGAGGTAGTTGAGCACAGCTTTTGTGTATTCCAAGCTTTCATCTAGTTCTGAGAAATATGCCTGCTCCAACTTTATCCAGTGATTACTGATTGAATAAATAACTGCATTTTGAAACAGCTCGTTAAAAAGAGGTTCTATAATTGGTTGCCAGTGTACTTTAACTTTGCTCATTTCAGGCCAAAGATTATAGATAATATCAACAGACAAGGGAAAGTCTGAGTTTTTTTCAGTCTCCAGCCGTTTTACAGAATCCAAGACCAAAGTGGCATATGCTTTTGGGACAACATTCATAATAAGAAGTTCATTCCATAAAGCTGCTGGATCTCGCCATTGATCCAACTCTCTCCACTTAATACTTCTACGGTTGTCAGTGAGACCAAAGAACCCACTAATGTGAACTGGAAGACCTGTTTTACTTTCTTCACCAGGGGGTAAAGGAAGAAAACAAAATGCTTTTCCTGAGAAATCAGATATTGCTCCTGTTTCTTCTTCACTGCTTGATAAAGACATAGCTATGCCAATGGTTGGGACAAATTTCAAGTCATCAGCCAAACAATCCAGTTCATTGCAAATTCCTCGACCACCTACACTGTTACACACCAGCCAAGATGTTTTTTGTGCATCCTTAGTACTCTCATCTTCTAAAACTATATTTATATGATATGTCACACATGTAATGCTGTTGCTTGGAACTTTCTTACAATAATTACTTATAGCTGTTCCCAATATTTTGATGGAATTGGGTCGCTCATGTTTCAGGGCTTTATTCTCACTCGCTGTTACCCTAAATACCAGTTTCTCTGTCCATCAGCCTCTCGAACATGTAAGGAGACATCCTGCACACTTTTCAGAAAGAGAAGCACTGTATCTGCATCTGCCCTGAAGGAGTCGAACAACTCAAGAATCTTTTGCTTGTTGTACAGATTACTACTCAGTTGTGAAGGCTGTAGGCGAAGAGGGAAACGAAAAAAAGTTCCAGGAAAGTTGCCACTTAAGAAAGTTTCCTTGGTGCTTCCAAAAACACCAATGAATGGTGCAAACTGGTCTGAAAATTCACTAATTTCTTTACTGTCATCTTTTAGATTCCAACACTGTCCTGATTCATGGGGGCCAAAAAGTGTCTGATGGGGATCTAACATTCCAATCTGGTCACCGCTAAAGATACAAGGAACATCTATAAAGAAAAATGCAAAAAGATGTTAATTCTTAATTTAGTATTTGTAAAGTGACTGAAATCAATATCTAGTGTATTAATTATAACGAAAGCAACAATTATAAAGCAATTCTCAGAATTAGCATTCTCCTTCTCCTTCCCCTCCCTCCTTTTCTCTCCCTTTCTTTTTTTCTTCTTTTCCTCACTGATTTCCAAGGTATTTTAATAGTTTCTAGGGACACTGAATAGACTATTTTAAATAAGGACTATCCCTGAAAATCAGAGACACTGATGGTCACTACTTATTTAAGTAATTAGTAAAACCTTGATAAAATGAAAGCAACATAGTTCATTTCCTGAATATATCAAACTTTTCACACATGCTCAGAGCTTTCCTCAAGCATACATGTCAACCACCTGAGAAATATCTACTAAACTACTATATAAGGAAATGAATAGCCAATGGCTTCTTACTGCTTACTAGAACAAGTCCAAATTCCTTGGTCCAGCTTTCAGAATCTTCTGATCAATTGATCCTGTCCTTATCTCTCTTTCCAATGTAGAAGCTGAACTGTTTTACACACACACACACACACACACACACACACACACACACGTCCTATTGTACAACACTATGTTCATTTCCCTTTCTTAAATTGTTCTTTTGCCCTCTTGGGTTCCTCTTCTCCAATATAAATCCTTAGAAGACCACATTCTCTAGAAACTTTCCATAGACCCATTCCCACAATAATCTTTCCTCTATTTCAAAATAGGCTTAGGTTATTCTTTCCAAGACTTCTATATTTAAAGCACACTTGTCAGAAAAAAATTATGATGTTAAAAAATTAGTATCTACATTCATTACTGATACATTACACCAGTGGTGTCAAACTCAAATAGAAAGGGATCTCTGCAGACTGCATACTGACTTAGAAAATCACAAATTAACACTGCCTGTGTTAGGTTCTATATTTAATTATTTTGTTAAACATTTCCCAGGTACATTTTAATTTGGTTTGGTAATCTGATTCCTGATGACCAAGTGTGATGCCTCTGTATTATTCCAAAACTGCACCCCTACCCACACAACCTTAAATTTAACTAACAGCTATGGGTTAAAAACTTTACCAAATTCATGAAAGTCAGCAAGAAAAACATCAAGTGGGTGATTATCATTTTGACTGCAATCAACAGGTGATTATTGTGGCCTAAACTGAACAACTGTAAAGTCAGAATATAAAGTTCAGCATTTAGGCTAAAACAGCTTTTAGGAAGAGACTCATGAAGTCAAATCCATACCTGTTATATGATAGACCGAATTAAACCCAATTCCAAATCTTCCAACTTTTAGTGGATCATCCTTTTTCCTGCTCCTTGCTATTTCCTGAATGCCATGCCAATCCTCAGGAGTAAAAACTGCATTGTTATACACATAAAGTGCAGACCCTATATATCAAAAAGACATATAATAAAGAGAACATTAAAAAGAGAATAAAACTCAGACTATTTGGTTCTATTAGACTAAAAGAAATTGAGGTCCTTGTCCACCCATAACTGTCCTTATGGTAAAGTGATATAAAAGAGGTTTCATTAAAACTTTGGTTGCTTTTCTGATAAAATTGAAAACTATTATTTCTATCATAGAAAGATAACAGTAACAGAAATTTAGAAAACAATGAAAGAAAAAAGTATTTAGATGTCAAGAAATTAAATAACTAAAAATTGATTACAAGCACACCTTACTTTATACACTAAATATCTTCCTAAAATTACAATTAAATACTTTTTTTGTAAATTAGTTATTTTAAATGCATTATAGGAGCTCACTACTTGAAGAGAGCCTAAAACGAATCCCAGACAATAAAGAACCCTTTGGCATTATGAATAATCACCCCCGAATTTTCTCTGATTTTTATATTACACGTAATGATAAAATAATAGGATTGATATTTTTTAAAACATAATAGAACTTATACATCAAAATGAAGGCAATTTCACTCAAAACAGTCACCTTAGTTTTATATTTCCAAATTTTTTTCTATTTCCAAAATTACACTGCTCAAAACTTTTTTAGATATTCCCTCTACCTGTGAGACCTGTTCTTTACCCTCATATTCTACTTCATAAATGCATGTTTTCTATCCCATTGTATTACAAGTTCCTTAAAAGCAAGAACTATGTCTTTTTATCTATGTATCCAAAGTACCTAAAAATTCATTCCTTAAACAAAGTAAGTACCTAATGTTTATCAAATTTTTAAATTAGAATTCCATAGACAAAAGTATCAGTTAACAAAAGTAGGTTTACTTAGCCAAAGCAAGGAAAGGATATTTAGCAAGGATATGGCATTGATTCAATTAGGTATAACTTCCTTTCCTCTGTGTTGATATTGTTGGTCTACCAGTCAGAAACCTGAGAGAGGTGCAGCTGACTCCTCCGACAGTTTGTTGTTGTTGTTTTGCATTTAGGCCACCAGAAAACTAAGTCATCGGCCCAAGCCTTAGTCCTCTGAGCCAATTAAGTCTCAATGACAGTTTCAACTTGTTTTAAGGAAAAACTAACCTACCCTAAATGGTAGATATCACTCCTATTACAGTTCACAAACAGGCTCCAAAGACAAATGCAAAACAGAAGCTCCAAAAATATTTTTGAATTACAGAAGCATCATTAAAATAAGTATATAACTTCTAAAGGTGACATCTTTGAAAGAGGACAGACAATACTCATTTTAATTGACAATTCTCAGTACATTTTTGTTTTTTAAAAGTTTCAGCAATTTATAGTCACATTTCTGAGTTCAAACTTGATACAGTATTTTATTTTTATCTCCCTAGATAAAAAGGTACACAAAAAATTATACTTTTGAGAGATAGTAATTTTCTTCTGTAACAATTTTTAACAGCACTTTTTAAAAAGTCAAAAGCTGAAAAGTAATAAGAAAATACCAACATGTTTCTAGACACATAAAGCATATAGTCACAAAAACTATAGCTGAAAGAAGCCTTAGAGGGCATCTGAACCAAACTAGCCATTTCAGAAATAAGGAACCAAGCCTCCTCAGTTGGGATGACTTACCCAAAACTATACATTAACAGCTCAGTACAAACTAACACATTTCAGGTCTGACCATTACACCGTGTTACATCTCTCAAAAGTACCTTTCAAAAAAAACTACACTGCTCTAATATCCCAACTATAACAGAATCACTTCTAAATTAGAAACCTGAGTTTTAATGCCTAAAATTTTTCAGCAGAGACATGACTGCTGTATGTATGTGATTCTTTGGGAACTCTTTTTTAAAAGAATGATTGAACCATAATTTTAAAAGACTGCTCAATGCCAATAGTAATTTAGGCAATTTGCTATCCACTTTAGTGAGTTTACTGAATACACTGTTCACATAACTACACTCAATCCACAGTGGGGAAAAAAGCAATACAGCCTTAAGAGTACGAACAGTTTGTCAAATTTTAAAAGAACCTTACATCTATGATTAGTTTTAGAAAGGCAAAGTGACATTTCCTTCCTAGTCCAAATCTCAAAATCATACAAGAATAAATGTGTCATACAGAGATTTCAACTAGATGACTCCTAATTTCCCTTCCAAGACTAAGAATCTATGAAATGGAAGTTTAAGGAAACAATTATTATTGATGAAAATTAATTAGTAAAAATATAAGAATTAATAATATTAAATTTTGTGTACAAAGCATCTAGTAAAAATGACAAGCTGGAGTATAGCTCATATTTAAAAGTCTGAAAGCTTTTCTGCTAAAAAAAATATATTTGGAGTATTTAAAGCACTGATACCATATATCAAGTTGATAAAATCACTTCTTATTCTCATAAATAAAATATTATACCAAATTATCTAATAATAATAATTCACCATTATAGAAAACTTTAAGGTTTATAAAATGTTTTCTGTCTCAGGACTATATAAATCTATAATTACACAGATTGATATGAAAATCCAAGGTAGAACTCAGCATTTCTCTTTACCTTTACATCTGAAGATTATAAAATGATGTTATTCAAACACATGATTTTGAAAAATAAATGGTACGGAATGCATGCACAAAATTGATGAAGTAATCCTATTTCAGAACATTAAAAGAAGTGAGATGAGCAAAGAGCCAAGGCCACATGATATTTTCCTAAGAGTATAACTACATGTCCTATATACTTGATACCTTCCTAAGTAGTTGCACAACAAAAACTATTTGTCCATGACTGCAGTTGGTGGAACCATTGGGTGTACAAATTCCAGCCATTAAGTATCATTAGCTAAAGTCATGGGAATCAAAGACATCCCAAATTGCAAGTAGTCTCTGTCTTTCTACACAACATATTTGTAAAACCCATTTGGAATAGAAGTACTATAACCTTAAATGGCATGCCTGAACAAGTATTCATAAGTGTTCTGATTTTTGTTTTAAATAGGAAGGAAAGTTCACAAGGAATTTAAGAAACCTTCTAGTCCAATACATTCATCTTTACATATTAGAAAACTGAGGTTTTCAAACTTCAACTTACAACTCCTTTCTAAAGGCATTCTCCAACCTTATTCTCTTTTTTTGTAAGATCATTTCCTCCATTCACCACTGCATGTACAAGCAGGTACTGGGGAAATTATCCTTCATTCAATTAGATTTAATATGCATCTACTAATCTAGTTTATTTTGCTTCCTCTGGAGTTATCACTCAAGTATTTCCCACAAACAACAATAACAAGCTCACAAGTAAAAGAAATTACTCCTTTGGCTTAAGAGAACCTGCAGCCCAACAAGAAATTTTCGACCAACTAATCTTTGTTAAGCACATACTATGTATAATGCATTGTGCTAGGTCAGTGAGAGGTACAAAAGATTCAGGAAACAACGTCCCTTACCCTCAAGGAAATTATAATATAATGAGAAGTAAAACATGTGCATAGACAACTATTATAATATAGTTATAAAAACATGGTGACCATAGTATACCACTGCCGAGCCAAGTCATCAACACTAAACACAACACATACAGACATCTGGAATACACAGCTAAAAGATACATAGTAATACAGACTTTCTTTACTAAGTTATGAAAATGTTTCTTCAGTCTATGATTTTCCATCACTTGTGAACAATGTTTTTTTTAAATTTCTATCTTTTATGATTTCATTTCCATTTCTAGAACATTTCAGTGGCGCATGGTGAAAACTAGATAGAATACATGAAACTGGGACTATCCTGTCTGAGGCAGGACTTGAACCCAGGTCACTCTGACTCTGAAACCAATCATACTACACTGCCTCTCAAATAATTATAAGATTTAAAGTAATATAGTTACAATTCAAGTCCTATAAAACAGCAAAAATGAGGAAGGGACAATCACAAAGGACCACAGATTTAGAGCAGAAAGGAACCACACAGGCCACTCAGTTCAATCCTCCTCCCAACTTTACATATAGAGAAAGAGAATCTGCTGGAAGTTAAGTGGCAAGGACACAGCCAGTAAGTAACTGAGGCAGGAGTTAAATTCAGGTCATCTGAACTCCAAGCCCAGCACTCTATCCACTGTGCCTCCTACCTAGATATACAATGATTATACTGGGGGTCTTATACTATAAAATTTATCTACAACACAAAATATGTCTATTATATCACAAATTTAAGGTAAATGCAGCAAATACTACCATTTAATAATAATTTTGTCTTCATAAGCATTCAGAAAAGCTTTGTTTTTTTAAAGATTTTTGAGGGTGACAAACATCTCTTAATATAGCTGTCTACAAAACTTTGAACTGATTCCTTATTCCTTGAAAAATTTCCCTGTAGCAATCAGAGGCACTTAAAATCATTCCACTGACTTCACAACTCAAAGTAGATATCAGCTTTTAAAAACTGTTATTTAGACATGTAAATACTTGAAGACCTAAGGACTTTAAAGGTGATGTTTGGAGAGGAGAAATTTCTTCCATCAGGACTTCTAACTTTTTTTTTTTTGGCGAGACAATGGGGTGAAGTAACTTGCCCAGGGTCACACAGCTAATAAGTGTCAGGTATCTGAGGCCAGATTTAAACTCAGGTCTTCCTCAATCCAGGGCCGGTACTCTATCCACTGCCCCATCTAACTGTCCCCTCTTTTTAACTTTTGTATTCTTATCATCCTCCCTATGACCCCCAACCAAAAAACATTAAACATCACAGAAGAGAAGACCATTAAAAGGGCACCAGAAATATATCTATGGACTTGAAGAGAAAGGTATGATCACATTCCTTTGTCTTGTTTAGAGCAAGATGTATTTATGAGAACATCATATAAAGCTCAGCTTCAAGACTTTTTTTAACATCATCTGGCGAAGGCACCTCTTTAACACTGGCTTGTTATTAAACATCAGTTATCAGACATTGCTGAAGGAGTGGAGAAATTAAATACAAAGTGTTAATTATAAAACAACAAAATTTGCCCTTACCAACTATACTTACCTTGATATTGCTCCATATCTTTTGACCAGAGAGTCTCCTTTCCATATTGAGTTTCATCATATAAAAATTTAACTTCTGTGGCCCCAGCATCTTCTGCATTCTGAATTAATTCCTAACCATAAAAACATACCCAAAATAACTTTATTTCACAGATAGACATTTGATGCCCATCTTACAACTTACTGCATTTTCAAAGTCAATATACAATTAATTATTGATCATTTTAGGCATTGTTCTGCTCCACACTACTGAGACTGAGTGCCACCTACCACAATCTTAACACATCTGAGATACCTTCCAGCTCTAGACCTATAATTCTATTATCTTATAAACTTTAGACAAGTGAGGAGATGTTAAGAAACATCCTGGCTAGCCTAAGTAATTTGATGTCAATAAGCCAAATAAATTACATCCCAAGATATTGAAAGAAATGAAATAAGCCACTGTTAAACCACTAACAATAAACTTTGAAAACTAATCAAGAAAGGAGCTATAAGTATAAAAATGGGCAAATGTTGTCCCCATTTTCCCAAAAAGGAAAGAAATAATCTTCAAACTCTAGGCCAGTGATCATGATTTTAATTCCTAGAAAAACAGAAGATATTATTAAGAGATGGTTTATAAGGCATTTAAAAGGGCAAAAGGTGATCCCCAAGAGCCAGCCTGGCTTCCTCCAAACAGGTCTTGCCAGATTAACATTTTCTTATCTGACATGGTGATTAGATCAAGAGAATTCTATAGCTGCGAAATAACTGGATTTCATCAAAGTATCTGACAAAGTCACTCAAAATATCCTTGTGGACAAGATGGAAAGAAGCAGGGTAGGTGAGAGAAGTTACTTTATAACCACTTGAATGACCCCACACAAAGTGTGAATGAGTAAATCAAAGCTAACTTGACAGATTTATAGTTGAAGTGTCCCAGAGAGCTGACCTTATCCCTATGCTGTTCAACATTTTTGACAACCACTAGGATAAAAGCAACAAAAAAAATGCTTATCAAATCTAAAAATACAAAAAGGTGGAAAGGAGAGCTAACATGTCTGACAACAGGCTCAGAAAAATCTCAACAGGTAAAAAGATAAGTTGAAAGTAATGAGAAAAAATAATAAATGTGAAGTTCTGCACTTGAATTTTGAAAAAAGTGAACAAAAGCAGTTTGGGGTAGAAATAGTTAAGCAACAGTATCATAAAAAACAAGATCTGGCAGTCCTGTATACTGCAAGTGAGTCAAGAGTATGACATAGCAAACAAAAAAAGCTATATGATATCAAGCTTCATAAAGAAAAAGGAAGGGATAAGCATTTATACCACACCTACTATGTGCCATGATACTAAGCACTTATTACAAATAATATCTCATTTGATCCTCACAACAACTCTGTGAGGTAGGTGCTATTATTATCCCTATCTTAGAGTTGAGGAAACCAAGGCAAGCAAAGGTTTATGTAACCTTCCACAGGTCACACAACTAGTAAGTCTCTAAAGACAGATATAAATTCAAGTCTTCCTTACTCCAGGCTCAGCTCTCTATCCACTATACAACCAGCTGCCTCTGAGAGGCATAATAAGAGAAGTATATTGTTTACAACTAAGAAGATGACAGTCCCTCTCTGAATGTGGTATCACCAGGAAAGAATAAAGGACCGCACTCATTTCTGGACGTGACATTTTATGAATGACATGGACAAACAGCAGCTAGTTCAGAAGTCACCCAAAATAGTGAGGAAAGTAGATACCATGCCAGATTTAGTCAAATGTATTAGGGATATTCAACCTCCAAAAAAGAAAATTTGAAACCTGATGGCTCTCTTCATGTATGTGAAGCCTAACCAAATAGAAGAGGAATTAAGACTTGCTCTCTGTGGTCCAAAAGAGGTAGAACTAGGGAAAAGGGATTTCGAAGAGGCATATTTTTGTTTTGTTTTTTGGGGTTTTTTTAGTGAAACAATCGGGGTTAAGTGACTTGCCCAAGGTCACACAGCTAGTACATGTCAAGTGTTTGGTCTGAGGCCAGATTTGAACTCAGGTCCTCCTCACTTCAGGGCTGGTGCTCTATCCACTGTGCCACCTAGCTGCCCCTAGAAGAGGCATATTTAAGTTCAGTACATGGTAATATTTCTTTAACCAACAAAGAGCTACTTAAGGACGTTTGGTTTCCCTGTCACTAGTGGTGCTTAAGCCAAGTGGCCACTTGGCAAGGATGTCTTAGAAGTGACATCTGTTCAGGTATATACTGGACTGGATGATTTCTGAGGTCCTTTTCAAAAATGAGATTTGAAGTTAAATGAATGATCAAAATACTTTCACAAACCCAGTTTATCTAACACAAATCAATAATGTTCTCTGTACCTTAAGAATCTGTCCTCCTTCTGGATACCTTCTTAAAATATCCTTAAGAAAATCAACAAGAGGTGGAGTTGTTTGACCAAATCGGCCTAAAAGCACAAAACAAAAGTCATTGTTAACGTTTTTTCCCATCATGAAACCTACTCACCTATTCTCTATGATGTAGTTTTGTTCCAAAATTTGATGCATCTACTCAATTTAAACCTTTCAAAGCATTCATTGTAAAATAACTGAACTACCTCAATCCTTTCACAAAAATTAAATCTAATTCCATTAAACAATTGAAGTTTAAAAGAATTTTATGAAATAAGTTTATTATAACTTTTAAAGAGGGCTCCATGATTTCATTAAGGAGCAGCACAAAAGTATTTAGCTCAAAAATAAAAATATGAGTTTCTTTTGAAAATAAATATGCATTACTTAATTAGTACCACTGCTACTAAAAAATAAGGCAGGGAAATTAATTCTCTTTCATTGTTAGTAGTAGCTCTGGCCAGATATTTTAATTAATTATCCATTCCAATTTCACTTGCTGTGAGGGGTATCACACCTAGCTTTCTGCCCACTTATTAAAAAATTTCTGATTAGGTTTGTCTAGTGGAGAGATTCAATCATGCATTTAGGTAAAGAGACAGACAACTTCTGAGCTGTACGGGGCAGACATATTTGAAAACAGAACAAGAGAAGTTCTTAAAAAAGAAAACCACGGTGCTAATTTTCTATGTATTTATTATTTTACAATGATTTATCATTGATTAATCTCTCCAAAATCTTTCTGTCCATTATTATTTGAGGGGAGCCTCATTACTTTTTATTCATACAACTGCTTGAATTAACTCATTCACCCTTGTTAACTTCATTTTCCTGATGTTCTCTCAAACCATCACCATTTCATAATATTCTTTTATTCTTTGTCTATAACATGAAGTCATTTTGCAACAATACAAACTTCACACCCTTCTAAGAATCAATGATATACCTCCTCCTTTTAAGCCTTTTGATTGAAGGTTTACGAAAAGATCATAATTTTTGTAAGTGAGGTCTCCAATCTTGATCCAATCAGATAACTGAAAAGGAAAAATAATATTGATGATGTGTTCCTTATTCATATAAATTCAAAAGCTGTCAACAAATAATAATGCCTGAGTTATCCAGTATCACAAAGAAAATAAGAAATCCAAGGAAGTAAATTATTCAGAAAACTGAAGTTTCAAAGCTTGAAGATTTTTTGAAATGTTTTAGAAATTTTTCTAAAGTGCATTGTAGATTCTCCCTCCCAAACAGTATATTTCAATGGATCTGTGATATACTTATTATAGGTTCTCCTTCAAACTATACAAATCACAACCTGAAATCTCCTCAACTTGACTGTCTTTCACATCCTCCCATAAATTCTTATAAAAGCCTTCCATATAGCTTTCATAAAGGATCTACCTGACATGTTGAAGGCTTTCCTCTAGCATTTAAGATTTAGTAGGTTCCTGAACTGCACCTGAACAGTTGTTTTACTTCACTGATTCCGTAACTGCCCTTCCTCTTTTTCAGATCACATATTTCCTGTACCTTTTAGACCACTTCTAGAATACAAAATCATTTTAATATATGCATTTGGTTTACACTTGCCATATAGCTCTCCAATGCCCTTTTGAGTCACACAGAATTTTAATTCTTCTAAGACTATGGGTTTCTTTGATTCACAGCCATATAGTACTGCAGAAGGATATTGTTTAAGAGAAAATTCTTGTATCTGGTAAGAACTTGGGGTCTTTGAAAGTGCTACATGATATCCCAAAAACAATTTAGCCCACTTTGCTATCCATCTGCAATGATAAACCAAGTAATATATAATCATGAAGTAACTCAACAGGTTGCCCATCCAATGGGATATCCGTTTGAATAGGCTTTCTTAGCCAATTTGGTTTCTCCTACATGGATTGTTAAGTCAGTATTTTTTTTTAGTGGTCATGAATAGGCATTCATGTGATGGGAATGGAATATATATAATTCATAGGAATTATAGCATTCTGGAGCCCTCCACAATTATCACTATAGTTATCCCTTCTACATCGTGACTTTCCCCATCACAATTTTGACATATTGCGAGTCAGCATAAGACATTAGATGGGAATTTTGAGAGAGTTTTATAAAAGCCACAGACAAAACTCGAAAGCCAGCAGATGATACAAAAAAATACTTAATCCAAATTTTGCAATAAGGTATTATAAACAGCCCATAGAAGAAAAAGAAAAAATTCAGACTTCTTCTCTGGTATGAAGAGAGGACCAAAAAATTTTACACGGATTTTCCAGATCAAGGGGGGCACTGAACCCCTGACACCCACAATGAAAGGATAACTTTATATCATCTACAAGGGTAAGCATCTAGAAGACTTCATTATCTATAGAATATGTCTCCATTTGGATACTATGTAGTGAACATCTTTGCAAAGTACATGTCTCCTTGTTTTATGTCTCATCTGATGTCAATATGAAAATGATAAAGTTATTTTTAGGATATAACCAAGAAATCTTATATTACCTAAATAAAAGCCTTTTAGAAAACTTGTTGGAGTAGAACCTTCAACATTATGTTTTGCTCTACTGAGTCAAATCTTTTTTTCACAATCAACAAAATAACAAAGACAGTAGGACCTTATATTCTTGATAGCTTTCAGTTAATTTTATGACTAAATACACGGTCTATAGAAAATAATTTGCTAGTGTTTGACAAACATAAATTACTTATGAAAGAATTCCCTATTTCACAAAAACTTCTGGGAAAACTGGAATAAAGTCTGGCAGAAATTAGGCTTAGACCAACATTTACACCATAAATCAACCACAAATTCAAAATGGATACATGGCCTTAACATTAAAAATGATGCTATAAAAAATTAGAAGAGAAGCAAATTTCATACCTTTCACAGCAGAAAATGTATTCATAAACAAGGTAGAAAGGTTAATACAAAAGATAAAGTAGATAGCTGATTATACAAAATGAAAAGATTTTGACAAACAAAATTAGAAGTAATCAAATGGGAAAAAATCTTTCTATCAAATTTTTCATACGAGGTTTGGCATCCAAGATATACAGACAACTAAAAGACTGCCTACAAGACCAGAAAGGGCTCAAAACTTCTTTATTACCACAGGTAGCAAATGCTGACCAACTGCCAACAGGCAGATAAACAAAGGAGTCCTGAGAGAGGCAACACCCCTAGAAGACTAGTCCTGCTTCTAAGCCCAGTCCTCATAGCCATCATCCATTAAAGCAGAGAAGCAGCCAGACATACCCACCAACTACCCCCTCAGGGTAGGCAAGCCAGTCTAGCTGGCATCTTGAGTGAGAAACAGGAGTCAACATGTGGCAGGCAAGTCAAACCATCATCACCACCTTGGCCACTATCTGCCCTCTGACTCCAATGGAGATAGCTCAGGATACTGAACCCAATAGCTTTTGGAATGACAATGTTTTCAGCCCTTGACCACAGGCATCATTCTGGGGAACCAATCCTTGTAGAAATGTAGAAACGGTGATAGCTCCTGCAGATGATACAGCCACAGCTACTGACAACATGAAAAAGTTGTCAAATGATTCAACATCATAAATTTTAGAAGTGCAAATGACATTAAAGAAGAAGCATTACCATCTGCTTCGCCACTGCACTCCAAAGACCATGAGACTTTTTCATGACTTGCAGTTGAAACCTTTCATGTATGTTGTCTTCCCCATTACAATATAAGCTCCTTGACAACAGGGACTGTCTCAGTTTTTCTATGTGTGTGCACAATGTTTTGCACATATTAAGCACTCTAATAAGTATTTTTTCAGTCAGAATGTGAGCTCCTTAAGTAGGGACTACATTACTTATTTTATTTCTATCTCCAGTCCTCAGTATAGTGTTTGATACATTGTAAGCCTTTAATAAATGCTTTTATTTTTCATTCATTTAATTCATTCAAATCTATTCCCCAAGAGATAAGTGGTAAAGGGAAACGAACAAATATTTCTCAAAAGAATTGCAAACTATTAACAACCTATATACAAAAATGCTCCAAATCACCAATAGTAAGAGAAAAGCAAATCAAAACAACTCTGAGGTTGTACTTCACACCCAGAAAATGAGCAAAATTACAAACAATAGGAATAGTCAATGTTGTGGTAAGACAGGTATTCTAGTGCAATTGTGGGTAGAAATGGAAATCGGTACAACATTTGGAATGCAATTTGGAATTATTCTAATAAGAAGATTAAAATAACCATACTCTTTGACCAAGAGAATCCACTACTAAGCTTATACCCCAAAGGAACCATTGATAAGAAGAAAGTTCTCATATATGTCAAAATATTTATAGCATTTTTTGTGGCAGTAAAGAACTGGAAACAAAGTAGGTGCCCACTGATTGAGGAATGGCTAAATGGTACATGAATGTAATGAATATTACCATGCCATAAGAAATGAGGAAGATGACCAATACTGAGAAACATGGAAACATTTATACAATTTGATGCAGGGTTAAAGTAAGTAGAGCTAAGAAAATAATATACACAATGACTACCGCAATGTAAAAGTAAAAAAACAAAAACCAATCAAAAGAGAATGTTGCAAAATTACAAAGAATAATCACAGTCCCAAATAAAAGATATGAGAGGACACACTACCCCACTCCTTTGCAGAGGTAGGAAGTCCTTGGGTGCAGTACATTGCATATATTTTCTCATATCACATAGACGCCTTCTGTCAATATCTCCTCCCTTAGGCCTGTCTCACGTGAACAGGTGGCCCTTCTCCTTGTCAAGGCAAACCTCTCTCTATATGCAGAAGTGACTGCATTCCATTCTATCTTCTCCAGCAGATGGCCCCTTCTATCAGCTTCATTTTCCCACTTTTCTCCAATCTCTCCATGTCTACTGGCTGCTTCCCTACTATCTACAAACATGTACATATCACCCCAATCCTCAAAAAATTCTCACTTGAGCTGTACATCCCACTAGCAATCGTCTCATATATCTCTTCCCTTTTGTGACTATAATCAACGTCTATACTTCCTTTCCTCTCACACTCAACTGTCTACTATTTGGCTTCCAACCTCATCATTCACACTGGATTTACTCAAAAAATGCTCCCCATAAAGTTACCAATGCCCTCTTTATGTGCCAGATCCAATGGCCTTTTCTCAATCCTCTTGCTTCTTGACCTCTCTACAACCTCTGATACTGTCAATCACCCTCTTCTTGACAACCTTTTCTCTCAAGGTTTCAATGACACTAATCTATTATGATTCTTCTCCTTCCGGTCTGACTACTCCTTAGTCTCCTTTGCTGAATCTGCAGCCAGGTCACAAGGGCTAGCCATTGATATTTCCCAAAATTTTTTTCCTGGGCATCTTCTCTTCTCCCTCTATGACTTCACCTAGCTCCCATGGATTCAATTACCACCTCTATGCAAATAATTATCAGATTTATTTATCCAGTTCTCACATCTCTCCTTAACTTGTCTCAAATCTCCAAATGCCTATTGGATATCTTGAACTGGATGCCCTGAAGACATATTAAACTCTAACATGTCCAAAACTAAATTTGTTATCTTTCCCTCCAATCCCCACAAACTGTCTCTGCTTCCTTACAGGCTTCCAACCTAAGAGTCATCTTCAACTCCTCACTCTTTTGCCCCCCATATCCAATCAGTTGCCAAGTGAAGTTATTTGACCTTCACAACTCTTGTATAAAGTCTCTTTCTCTCCTCTGACACTGCCATCACTTCAATGTAGGCCCTTATCACCTCACCCCTAGCCTACTGAAAAACCATGCTGATTGGTCTCCCTACCTCAGCCTATCCCTACTCCAGTTCATCCTGTCCATTCAGCTTTCAAAATGATTTTCCTAAAGCACCAGTCTGATGATATCACCCCACCTATTCAATAAACTCCAGTGGCTCCCTATCACCTCTAAGATCAAATATAAAATCGTTTGTTTGGTGTTCAAAGCTCTTCATAACCTGCCCCCCTCCTACCTTTCCAGTCTTCCACCTTATTCCCTCATCCCATGTATTTATTCTGTGATCTAG